AAACAGGTATGTTAGTTACACGTGAAGAAGACACACAGGCATATCGTTACTACATGTGTCACGTGATCCGTTGCTTCCCCTGGGCTCACTTTTAGTATTGTATAGTATGTGGTTCCGAACAAGCTTAGGGTCTGTGCCCACTCTTACAGTCTCATGCAGAGTAAGCTCTCTGCATATGTTTTTTTTAAGTAAAGATTTGTTTCTTTTTATCTTATGTATATGAGTGTTTGCCTGGATGTATCTAAGCACACCACATGTGTGCAGTGCCCATGAATGCCAGAAGATGGCGTCAGGTCTCTGGGAACTAAGTTCTGGATGGTTGTGAGCTGCCATGAGGGTGCTGGGAATCAACATGGGTCCTCTGGAAGAGCAGTCAGTGCTCTAAACCGCTGAGCCATCTCTCCAACCCTGTTTTAGTTTATATTTTCCCTTCCTTCTTTCCTTCCTTCCTTCCACCTCAAACTCACAGATCCACCTGTCTCTGCCTCCCAAGTGCTAGGATTACAGGCATGCACCACCATCATCCAGCTCTCATTACTTTTTAAAAGCTAATAATATTCCATTGTTTATTCTTATTTTTTTTTTTCCTTCAGGGCTAGGAACTTGGCACAGGCTTCATAAACATCAGCCAAGTGCTCTAGCACTGAGCTCAATCCCCAGCCTGCCGTTTGCTCATTCTGTTGATGGAAATTCTTCCTACAGCCCTCATTTCTATTGTTGCTCCTCTCTGGACAGACTGACTTCTGCAAAGACCAAGTATGGCCAAACACAGGCTGCCCCTAGTGGTCATTCCATGGTGCTTTATGAGCAGAGTTCGGACGAAGAATTTGTATTCAAGAATAAACTGAATACATGACTAAAATGACTAGAAAGACAGCAATGGCTTCAGCCATCGGGTGTGAGTTGATCTCCTCTCCCAGGGCATAGTGCCCAAGCTCCTAAGGCTTTGAGTTTGTCAAATGCATAGATACCAGTCACCACTCACTACTATTAGCACAAACTCCTCAGTGTGAAACTGTGTGTGCATGGCCGGGAGTTGATAGTGCCAGGCTAGAACCAGGGAGCCACTGCCTTTTATGAGCAGAGACTGCTGAGAAATCCCAGGAGGTTCCCTTTGTCTATGGCCCTCAGAGTGATGTTTGACTTTTAGCTCGGGTGTATCTTTGCTCATAAAGAAGCGTGACTCTGAACAGAATGCCCCGGGTGGGCATCCTCTCACGGCCTCTGGCGGACACTGGCGGCCTAAACTGGGCTATGGCTCAGTCATTCCTTCAGATGAGAAGACAGGGCTGTGAGACAGCTCTGGGTGGGTGGTCTTCATCTTGGGGCGGATCTTCACAGAGCCCCGGAGATAATTAACAGCTTCACATGACCTAAGCATCTCACAGAGGAGGGGAGGGCCGTTTGTCTCTTCTCCAGCCACAATGCTGAACTGGAGGAAGCAACAGACTATTAACACCGGGGTTCCAGAGAATTCTGAACTCTCTCCTCCTCTGCTTGTTAAGTTCTCTTTAAAGTCATGTCTGTTCTGCTACCACAAGCCTTTCAGAGCCCAGGGGCAGGCTCCGCTGGGAGGAGGGGTTCTGTCGTGTTTGCCTTTTCGTCTTTCTATTCATAGTCCTTTCTCCCATTTTCTAGAATTCCCGTGATTCAGCTCTCACCTCTTCTCACTCCTCCCTCCCCAGACTCATCTAACATTTCCTCTCCTACCTCCCCCACCCCCTGCCCCTCTTGGTTTTTACAGCTGCAAACTGCTCTGCCCCACCCCTAAATACACACACACACGCACATGCGCACACACACACACATACACCAGCACACCAGCAGGCCCCTTGTGACAGCACCCTGGTCCCAGAAGCACCATAATCCTGTCTCTGCAGTGCCTCTTGTCACCATGGAAACGAGCATTCTCAGGCCCTACAGATAGACACAGCCATTACTGGCTGGTACCTGCCAATCCACATGTGAGGGTGTGCTTAAAATAGAAACCCTGCAAATAAAAACAGCAATTAGGGAAATCTGCACATCTTTGGGGCTATGCAGAGCTGGGCTGACAGTGGCTTCCCTCTCTCTGCTGATGCTCTTCCTAGAGCTGTACAAAGCCAGTTAAAGGCGAGGCTCACAACCAAAGCCAGCCAGAGAGCAATGCCTCCCTGGAAACAAAGCTCTCCCTAAGGGGATTAGCCCTCCTCAGGACTCACAGGTTAGCTGCATCACCAAGAGCAGGTGTGACCCTGGCTAGCCCCTCAGAAAAGCTGACATTGATCCCTGTCCTTTGTGCCTAACAAAATGAAGAGAAATGAAGCAATTTAAATATGAAACTGGAGATCTAGGTGCTGAGGAAGTGAGGACCAAGGTTAGGAGGCCAATGCCAGAAAATGAATGAGGCTCTGAATGAAGGAGGCTGTAGTCAGGAAAGTGGATGAGGCTCAGAATGAAGGAGGCTGTAGCCAGGAAAGTGGATGAGGCTTTGAATGAAGGAGGCTGTAGCCAAGAAAGTGGATGAGGCTTTGAATAGAGGAGGCTGTAGCCAGGAAAGTGGATGAGGCTCTGAATAGAGGAGGCTGTAGCCAGGAAAGTGGATGAGGCTCTGAATGGAGGAGGCTGTAGCCAGGAAAGTGGATGAGGCTCTGGATGGAGGAGACTGTAGCCAGGAAAGTGGATGAGGCTCAGAATGAAGGAGGCTGTAGCCAGGAAAGTGGATGAGGCTCAGAATGAAGGAGGCTGTAGCCAGGAAAGTGGATGGGGCTCTGGATGGAGGAGGCTGTAGCCAGGACAGTGGATGAGGCTCTGAATGGAGGAGGCTGTAACCAAGAAAGTGGATGAGGCTCTGGATGGAGGAGGCTGTACACTGTTTTGCACTTTGCAGAGGCTAAGTTACGAAACGGTAGTTGACACCTCTCCCTGGCACCACGCAGTGGTAACTTGACATCATTTCCTTTTTCATGGTTACTGCAAAGGGAGGACTTTGGCCCTTAGGGAAGGCCTTGTGTTCCAGAGAGACACCAACTGGAATGGTTCCTTGAGTCCTTGCAGGCTCTTCCTTCCCTTTCTAGAGATGTCCATCCCTTTGGCCAACACACAGTGCTAACTAGTAGACCATCACCACCAAATAAAAATTAACGTTATACAGGCAGAGCAGATTATATTTAGCTGCCCACATGTGTATGCAAGTAATAACATACATATAATATATACTAATATATAGTATCAATGTATAATGTATTATGAATTGTATAATATATTAATATAAGGATATATATGTAATGCATATATACATGTAATAACAATTAAAAAGTATGAATTTGAAGGAGAGCAAGAAGGGGTATATGAGTTGTAGGGAGAAATAGGAAGGGATAAGTTCTGCAATTTTCTTATAATCTCAAAAAGAAAAGAAAAATATTTTAAATTTATCCCAAGAAAGAAATAGTTTAGCAAGAATCCACAATAGTGCAACAGCATTGCCATCCCTTAGAAAGTGGATACTCAGGGCCAGCGATGTGACTTGAGTGTTGACTCTGGGTTGTGCCAGCTTGGGGTTCAGTCCCTAGGCCCCTTAAAGCAGGCCTGTGGCTCATGTTTACGATCTCAGCACTTGGTGGGAGGGAGTGGAAAAACCGAGAAGCAGGAATTTGTGATCCACACAGCTTTATCTAGCTACGTGGTGAGCATAAGCCAGTCTGGAGCCAGCCTGGGCTAGACAAGACATTGCCACAAAAACAAAACAAACAGAGACAAACAAAGAGCGAGAAACTCCAAATAATGACCATCATAAAGTTGGAAAGATGCCGAGACTCCTCAGAAGGCCAGAAAAGTGGGCGGGACCAGGAGGGGGAGCGTCCAGTCCCGGATTTACCCAGAAGGTGGATGCCTGGCGCCCGAATCTGAGTAGCTACAGTAACATTTGTCTCTCGTTGCATTTTCTCAGGCAGTATCTTTGATCTGCCTTGTACACATGCTTCCAGCCAGATTCGACCAGCCAGCAACTCTGTGATGAAAATTAGATGCGAGTACTAAGGGGGGGGGCGGTGAGACCCCGCACACAGCACCTTTAATGGTCCGACTGGCACCGTCTGTGTGTGCTGGTCACTGTCATCTTCCTTCATCTCAAAGAGTGGACAATGAGGGTGGAGCTGGTGTGGGAGGAATGTGGATCCTGACAGGAGACACCCCTGATCTACAGGACAGACCTAAGCGTAGGAGGAGGCTGCTTGTTCATCCCAACCACCCAGAACCAAAATAACCGCACCGAAACTATATTAATTAAATCACTGCTTGGCCCATTAGCTCTAGCTTCTTATTGGCTAACTCTTACACATTAATTTAACCCATTTCTATTAATCTATGTTTTATCATGTGGCTGTGGCTTACCAGCTAAAGTTCTGGCATCCGTCTCTGGTGGGGCTACATGGCTTCTCCATGACTCCACCCTTCTTTTTCCCAGCATTCAGTTTAGTTTTTCCCGCCTAGCTCTGTTCCCCTATAGCTCTGCTATAGGCCCAAAGCAGTTTCTTTATTAACCAATGGTATTCACAGCATACAGAGGAGAATCCCACATCACCTAAGACTAGTCCCTAAACTTGGGCTGCACTTTCCGGATGAACACATCCAGTGGGGGCTTCAGACTCCAGCTAGCCTGCCAGGCACAGAGATGGATGTGCTCTTCACAGAAGCTGACTCATGAAGGGCAGGCCACATCTATGAAAGACAGAAAGACTGGAGAAAGGCAAGCAGGGCCACCTCAAGAGATCTGAACAACAGGGTTAAGCGGCATCCTTGGCAGCGTTAGGGAAGCTTAAGTAACGTTCTTGTAAACAGAATGTTCCATTATAGGTTCTATAGAAGAACATCAAGATACCTTCTCTTCCCAGTGTTCCCATTCGCTGAGTAGAGAAAAGGCTGAGGAACGTGCTACACAGAGCTGGAGACTATGATGTCACCGCTTCCGTGACATCACAAAGGCAGTGACATCACAAAAGTGGTGACATCGTATGCAGAAAGCAAACAGTCTGTCCCGCAATCACAGAGTGTGCAGATCTTCCCATTTCTGGGGCCTGCAGCCGGGCCAAGATCCCCGGAAAGTCTCAGGGGACTCCAAGAGACCAGAGCCTGCCTGCTGATCCATAAGCCAAAGGAACACCCCTGTTCCTTGCTTTGCCCGGGGAATTCCTACAACTTGGTGCAGGTCAGCCACCTCAGAGACATAGATAGCAAAGCAATGTTCTTTCCTTCTACACGTATTTTTTCACTTCGTGTTGAAAAGGCTGCCCAGGGGTGTTGCTGCCTAGGCTCACAGATGAAGAGGGCTGAGAGGAAACACAGCATCTATTCTGTCGGAGGCGAGATAACATGGAATCTGCCGTCCTCCCTGTCCTGCTGCTGTGATAACCTGAGACTGGCTACGCAAAGACAATGGAAGTTTATCTGGTTCACGGTCCTGGAGGCTGGGAAGTCCAACAGAGCATCTGGCAAAAGCTTCCTTGCTGTGTCATTCAATGGAGGAAGCAGAAGCAGGAGTGGGGGTTGCGGCTGGAAGTGGGGATGAACAAGGAAGGGCTGCATTTAGAACCAGCTTCCCTATCTCTGGGTAACAGCCACGCCCACCATGACATTAACTCAGTTCCTGACAATGAAACCCAATGACCTCATCACCTCCCAAAGATCCTGTTTCCTAGCAACAGGGCTGTGGCAATGAAATCTCAATGTGAGCTCTGGAGGGGCTACCCAAACTGAAGCACAGCCCACCTTTGCAGAGATTCCTTCTGGCTCACCTTGCCATTCCAGATTGTGTCTAATTAGACAGTATTAAAGGTTAGAGGCTGGGGCTGGGAAGGTGGCTCAGTGGATAAGAACAATGGTTGCTCTTCCAGGAGACACAGGCTTGATTCAAAATACTGACATGCCAGCTAGCAATCCTCTTAACTCTGGTACCAGGGGTTCTGACATGCTCTTCTGGTCTCTGAGGGCACCAGGCATGCACAGGGTATACAGACATGCATGCAGGCAGAATACTTATGTACATATTTTTTGTTGTTGTTTTAAGAAAATGTCAGAAGCTTACACTATTATTTTACTAATCTATAACTGAAGTCTAAGTAGCTCTAGAGCTTTTACCGTCGGGTCTCAATGTCTCTGTCCACCTCTATTTCAATAATACCCAGGTGTGCCACCCACAGCATCCTCCAGTTCCTGCACAGCCCCCAGCATGTGTCTCTTTGGGTGTTCCCAGTCTCAGAGGGGCTAAGCAACTGTCCCTCATGCTTCTCCCCTCCACCTCTGAGTGTCTGGAACATTCCATCCTCAGGGCTGAAGTAGACCAGGCACTATCCCACCTGCTGCTCAGTGGATTATGTTGACATCGGCACCCACAGGGTGACCACATGCCCAGGCTGTTAGCCATGCTGTGTCACTGATGCCCGCATGGGGCTGGAGTGCCCGTTTTGTACCAGCACTGTGCAGCCAGCTGTTCTCAGCTCTCCTGACATCAGTGCCAACCTTCCTCCTTACATCCCAGGGTAGCCACCTGGAACATATGTAAGCTGTACTCGTTACAGTGTGGCTCACTCGGTCACAGGTTTGGGCTGGAATGGTGGGCAGGATACAAATTCAGTTTTCAGTTTAAATCTTACATCTGAGTATTGACTATGCCATTTATGAGCTTTCTGTTTTAATTCTGAAGGATGCCTCACACAGCTCCTCACCGCATGCAGATGGTGTTCCTGTGCCCATTCTGTCTCAATCTGTGCTCCTTGAATCTATTTTCAACAGCTGACCTGAAGTTTCGGAAACCGATTGGTCCTCACAGTCTTCTGAAATACTAGTGGGTCTCGATAAACAGCGGTTTCCATGGAGACGACCAAGGAACGTTATACCCGTGTCGCGAGGAGCTTCTGATTTGTATCTCCAGCCATTAGCTTTCACGCACATTTCATTCATTATTCATTTGCTAAGTGGAGATGGCAGCAACCCAGAGCATTTCAGGAGACCTGGGTCGGTGAATCAGAGCAACGTGGGAATACGCAGAGGGCGGCAGCAGCTCTTCAGGATACGGGGAGACCAGCCGGGGATTTAAACACCCCTCAGAAAGAACACGTGGGCAGACCCCACTTGCAGGCATTCGCCGGCACACAACTATAAATTCTCAGGAACGGAGAATTGAAAGCTCTTCATGTTCCCCGGTGTTCGAGGGGGGAGGAGGGGTCACGGACCCCGGAATGCACAGCACAGGTCTTCTATTTCTCTCCTTCTGCAGCACGGGTTCCTTCCTAAGTTGACTAATCCCCACCAGCCACACCCCACAAACTCTATGGCCGTACATACCCCAAAAGCAAGTGAGCTCCATTTTTGTAAGAGATAGATAGATTTCAAACCATGACTCCTATGTGAAAGTGGCTTTTTAAAAATGTGTTTTGGGGGGGGGGGAACTATGGCATCTTAAAAACCTCCGAATTATTTGATCACAATGAACTAAGTTCTCTCCCCTATGTATCCCACACCCATACCCACACACACAGAAGGGGCTGTATTTATAGGTCAGGAAACTAGATAAAGGAACATGAAGGGGAAGAGGGAGGGTCTGAGGAAGAGGCAACTGTAACAGAGAACACACACTATGAATTGGAAAGAGGAGGGATGTAGGTGGAAGGGCACAAGGGGACAGCGAACGGGGGGAGAAGAGGGCAGAGGATCAACAAAAGCATATTACATATGAAAATACCATTATGAAACCCATTACTTTGTACAGTAATTTCAAAAAGAGAAGCAAATAAAAACAGGAAAAAAATGCCCTAAACAATCTAAACTACAGCACATTCCTTAGATCTTATCCATGTAGTAACTGGATATTAATGCAGTTTATAAATATACTTCATGGAACTTTCTACTTAAAATAAAATCTAATAAAATAGTTTTCATTTTTTTCCTGCCCCAGGCTAAAAATAAAAAAATAAAAAGTAAGTGATGAGTTGATATAACTTTCTTTATGAAAACATGGCTCCAGGGGTAGGCGGTCTTAATGACATTCTTTCATAAATGTCTATAAACTGGAATCATTTCCGAAGGCAGCATGGTTGTGAACATTGTAACAGGTATGGAGCATCCTTTCACATTCCAAGGTTCTAGCTCCCTATCATGTCTCCCTTTGCAGAAATGTGTTCGTTGTTCCCAAGCATATAAAAGTAGGTTGAGCATCAATGTACAGTCTGTCTTAACATTAATCAACACACATTAAGAACAATTGTTGTAGGTAAGCAGCCTTTGTATGGTTTTTACCCATTGCCTGCATATTGGAGTAGGAGCGATCCGAAACCCTCGCTATTTATACTTGGAAGCAATCTTTTCCACATCCTGCTCTAGAGAACCATAAAGGGTGTACAGCTTTTACAGGCAGCCCAAGGTTTCTCCAACGCTCAGCGGCTCTGTCAATAAATCAAGGCAAGGACCATTTCTAGGTAGGAAAGGAGCTTAAATTTAGCAACGCATTTTAAAGTACAGTGATCCCTCACTGTTGATTCTAGGACCTCTAAGGCTAATAGCATTCACAGATGCTAAGTCCTTCTAGGCAACATTATATAGTATTTGAAGATAATCTACATATATTCTCTTGCATCCTTTAAATCATCTTTATATTGAAACTTCATATACTGTAAGTGCTGTGGAAGTCTTTGTTTGGGGGAAGGAAAACAGAGGGGGTTTGTAAAAGTTCGATGCAGATATAACATTTTGTAACTTTTTTCATCCTCGTAGGTTGAATCCAGAGACTAAGGGCTCACAGACCCTTTACTAAATGCTCACCAGAAAACTTTGGCTTCAGGTAGAAACATAAAGGATCCAACTATCATGAGGTTGCCATCGTGTGAATACGGAAGCAACACCAGCATTCTGCACACCCTCCCTGTCTGCTGGGACTTGGGACACCTGGGCATGAGACCCTTTGGTTCTTGTCTCTTCGGTCCTTCTGCTGCTATTACGTGTCTGATCTCTGACTTTGCTCTCCACCACAGCTTCTTTCTTGGTTGTCCCAGCTATACGTTCTGAACACTTCTCAGAGCTTACTTTGTACAAGAAGACAATCGCTCTTGGTGTTAATAAAACATTGTGTGTGTGTGTGTGTGTGTGTGTGTGTGTGTGTGTGTGTGTGTGCGCACACACGTGTGCTTGGGGCACAGATGCAGCATGTATTATCTCCACCTGAACTTGGAAATCTTAGAATCCCTACCAACATTAAGCCATAGCTGTGTACACCTAGGGAACACTCCTGATTGAACTGGGGACAAATGGCCTTTAATCACTGAAATTCAAGTGAGACACCATGTGCTATTGTGTTTTATGGGTTTTTGAACAGATATCTCAGTTCTGGAAAAGTTGTAGGAAATATATTTTAATGTTTCTACCATGGCTTCTGTTTTGTTTCATTTTGGAATCTGGTGGATTCTCTTGCATATAAAGCTTACCTGACAGGCCCGTAGACTCTAAAGCTGACTCTGGATAATAATATTTTCGAGCATTGACATGGGTCTTGACCGCCTTGGCCTCCCTGTGGACTAGTTCACGACAGAGCGAGAGGACATGCCCTTTCCTGATCACTGGGCTTTGTACAGATGACTACACAGTATGGACCTTGAGGCCTAAAGAGACGGCTCAGCAGTTAGGGTCACTGCTCTGGCAAAAGACCAGTGTTAAACCCCCAGCATCCACCTGGCAGCTCACAACCGTCTGCAATTCCTCTTCCAGGAAGCCTGACACCGTCTTCTGGCCTCTGTAGGCACGGAACACACCTGCGGTGCACATACATCTGTGTAGACAAATCACCCACTAATATAAATTTTAAAAAATATTTATGGCATACTGGAAATTGCAAAACAAAAGAAAAAGGAAGGGAGCCAAAGACACAGAGAAGCCCAGGAGAATCTGCCCACAGATCTTGCAGTCTGACCTCCGTCTCAATAACCATCATTCTTTCTCCACCTGTGTTTCTCCTTCAACAAACCTAGCAGAGACATACACAGGTCTAATCGTTGCACAGAGTCTTCGGATCCTTGCTGGGACACTCAAGTCATGGAAAATTTGTATTAAAGAAATTTGTGTGTTTTGTTGTTGTTCTGTCCTTTGTTTTAGCAGCCTCAGAAATGGGCCCAGAATGGGTAAGGAGAAGCCCCCTCTTACCCCACTACCACCCATAGCAAACTAAGGCCTGGTTTTGTTCTATCCTCATAACAAACGGCTTAGGTGTTTGGCTGATGCTAAACAAGCATTGAGAGAACTTTTTTTTTTCCTAATGGCTTGAAATGACAACACGCATCACCTAAAATGTCAAATAAAAATTTCATGACATTTTAAATCACGGAAATTATTTTATGATTACACTGCCCTGAGACTATTTTGGTTTAATTGCTTCTCTGCGACGTCTCAAGGGAAGTGGTAAGGCAGGGCACACCTTCCCCGGTCTCCAGCTTCATCACAGATAATAACTTGGTCCCCACACTTTCGCCTTTCTGCTTCACACTTCCTCCTCCTGCAAATCCCGACTGCTAACAGCTCAACAACCCACGCTTAGCTCTGCTGTTTGGAAAAGCTAGGACTGTCCTAACCAATTTAGGAAACAAACCAGCTCCATTTACATGGGGAATAGGCAAGGCTTTCCATGACAAGCCAAACCTCCAAAGAGACCATGAGTTCCTGACGGCCCAGCCAGGCCCTAGATTGCAAGTCAAAGCTTCACCAAGCAGCTTACTAGCAATACTGGGATACACCTGTCGTTCCTTTCTTGGCTTCCCTCAAGAGAAACTACATATTCCAGTCTGGGGTCAACAGGGAAGTAAAAATGAAGACAAGACTACAAGACAGACAACTTTTGTGTTACTCTCTGGAGGGCTATGACATCCATAGTCATCTCGTGGTTTAAAATGGTGCAAGCCGCGTGTCCTTACCGACTTTCATTCTCTGTATTGGTCACGCCATGCTCACCCTAATCTCAAACCTGCACATGTTGTCAGTGTGCTTGCATGTGCAAGTCACCTAGGGTAGTCTCATTTTGTGCTTGCTCTCAGCCTCCTCATCAGATCAGGGTTTGCCTTGGAAAAGTCCCAGCATGAATGCTGTCATACGGCCATGGTGTCTCTTTCCCCTCAAAGTCCTTTTGATGATCCCTTTGTGTTACTTGGTCGTTCGTTCTTTATTCCAACTCTCCCATCTTTATAAACCATGCTAATTCAGCGCTACCCTGTCTGCAATCATCAGCTCTATCTCCAATTGATAGCACCTGGGAAAAGCTGCTGCCCTAACACCCAGTGTCTTCTGATCTAATGGAGAAAGTCTGAATCTGGGCATTTAATATCTTTTAAATACAGGTCCTCGTGCTGAGTCTGAGGCTCGTTTCCAATCCTCTCTCATGTACCATGTGGGTGAGCAGATGCGTTGGTTTTGTTCCCATGCACCGTTGTACACATCTGTGCTGTGATGGGGATACCGCTGGTGCCCCCATCTGCAGACTTAACCTCCTTCAAGCCTGAACTCAAGCCTCAATTTTCTCTTTAAGCCTCATCTGCGGTCCCTGCCTTCTGTTACCTCTCCTGACACTCCCAACACTGGCAACAGGCGTCCTCAGAACTGGCCTGTGTTCAGTCTAGCACACTCTGCCTCATCTTGAGTCTGTTACATCTTCAGATATACCCTGAGCTCACCCAAAGAAACAGGCTAACTTCACAGAGTCAGTTCTCTGTATCTGCAGGTTCTGCAGCCATGGAGTCATACAAAAACAGATCGAAACTGTTCAAGGAAATACTTGCAATATACAGTTTGTCTTATCATCTGTCTCTCTGAATAATATCATCTAACAATTACATATATGTCATTCCCACATTTTCGTACTGTGAGAAGCTCACAGATGATGTGAATCAGAGAAAGAACAGGCATCATGACTAAGCAGACACCATGTTGTTTTATGTAAGAGACTTGAACATCTGCAGACTTTGTACACATAGGTGTTCCTGACACCAACCCTTTATGAACACCAAGGAAAGACCAATTCTCTTCCCCTTCTAACAGCCGCCACCCTGCCCACACAGTTAGGAAGCAATAGGAAGTAAAGGGAAGGGCTGGGAAGATGGCTCCGCAGCTAAGAGCACTGGCTGCTCTTATAGGTTTAGGTTGGGTTCCCAGCTCCCAAAATGGCAGTTCACAGTCACCTGTAATCTCATTTTAGGAAATCTAACACCCGTTTCTGGCCTCTGCATCACTCCAGGCAAGTGATACACACACATACATGCACGCAAACCACTCATGCACATATAATAAAAAGTAACTAAAAAAGGCAAAAAAAAAAGGAAAGGAAAACTTTGTGTGGTGTGCCCCAAATCTACCACATAGCTTTCTCTTAGGTCTTGCAGGGCTTGAATTCAGGTGCTTTCATTAAATCATGAAGAAAAAGAGTTAGGCAGTGTACCAGCCACAGGGATAGCATGTTCGTGCCGCCCTTTCGGCGAGAAAAGCCTTTGAAGACCTGACTATGGAGCATGAAAAGCAGAGAGAACGAGTAAGCGGCCAGTTGAAGCCGTGGGTCCTTCTGGTGTCGCAGACAGCTTTCTTTCATCTGCCAAACATCTTATGGGAGACACAGGACCCAGTGACACAAGCCCTTTGAAAAAAGAGAAGGCAGAGAAATCACAGGCAGCCTCGAAACATACAGAAATAAAAGAAGAAAGAAAGACAAAGTAAAAGTCATTCTCTGTGTGGCCATTTTGGGACCTCTCAGGCTGTACTATATGAGGTCTCGGCCGGACAGAGATGTCTGAGGGATGCTGTGGCAGGAGTCATGTGAATTAGTCAGACCGAATTCAAGTATGAGAGCAAGAGAGGGGTTCCAGTGCTACTTTTCTTGCTGGAAGCTTCTCACCCCCATAGCATAGTCAATCACCCTGCAACCCACAAGAAAAGTCCCAAACAATAATGCCCGACCAGACCTCAGACCACAGCCTCTCACCTAACAAAGCAGCTCATGAAGATACAGGCTGTCAGCTAAGAAAGGGGACCAGTTCTGCAGGACAGTTTGTCTCTGATAAACACGCTAAAAATAAAAGCAGGCAGCCAACTGGTGAGGTTATCTGCTCCTTTAGAAAACACAGTTCCCGTTCCTCTGGCCTGAATTTCTACGACTGGCTTAGATGAATGGGAGGCTTCCGGTAGCTTCTGCCCCCAGAACGAGGCTTGACAAATGTGGCATGATTCAGTCGTCAAATGTCTGGCATTGTCCATAAACTTCTGAACATGACCCGAAGCCATTAGAGGCCTTAAACTTTCAAGCCATTGTACCATTAAGCAGCCAGCATGTGACTCCATTACCGTTTTACCCACTGCCCACAGACCGCAGTGTTTTGGGGGGCAATTGATATAAATCAGCGATGAAAGGAGCAGAGGGTGGGAAAGAGAAGCAGCCCGTCATTAAGAGCCATTCAGCAGCATCTGGGTTGTAACTGCAGTGTGGATTCAGAAAGCTGTGGGGAGCCATTTGTGGGTGTTCACCAAGCAGCGTGTTTTCTGGGCAATTTACCCCCCAGTGTTCCCCAAAGGTGGCACCACAATAATAGGGTTCCTTCTTTTTTCACTTTTATTTTTAACCTTTGCTCCAAGGGAATAAAGCAAGCTTCTATGTACCATTATAACTGTAGGGGTTTATTCTGACATCAAATTGACAATATGCCCATTTCTCCTTTATCATATTGGAAAGATCCAATTTAAATGCCTGGGTTTATAAGCCTTCAATGGGGGAAATATTTGAATGAACTAAATTTATATAAAAAACCAAACCTAATATGATATAATGTATTTATATTTATTTTATAAATATAAGTATATAGAATATATATAAATATTTTTGTTATACTAGTTAATATTGGATGCTTTTTTAAAGTGCTAAACCAGTACAGTAAAAGCAATGAACATACTTGCAAGATTAGTATAAAAGAGACTAATCCTGGAGTCTTGTTTGCAAAAAAAAAGAGCATTTTTACTATTATATGAAATAATTGTCTTTGATTTTTATTGAGGGTAATTCAAATGTGGGGGGTACAATCCGGAAGCCTCTTGGTTTTACCGACAATTAACAGGAAATTATTCTGAATGAAGATTGCCCCTATTCTAAGTCACCAATTAGGCTACATTGACTTTTCTGCCTGAATCACAGGTGTAGAAATAAAAGAAGAAAATTGCATGTTTTAGTGGCAGGCGGTGGGAGACAGCAGAAAAAGGCTTTGGCTTTCTGGAATCATCCATTTTAACGGGTAAGTCTTTGCTCACTGGTCTTTTTATGCAAATTTAAATAAAATTGTACGTGTTTGGGTGTTTTGCTTGCATGTGTGTGCAGTGCCCTCGGTGGCCAGAAGAGATGGCCTCAGATTCCTGCCACGGGAGCTGCAATGACTGTGAGCCACCACGTGAGTGCTGGGAGTCACACCCGTGTCCTCTAGAACAGCTGGTGCCATCTCTCCAGCCCCTGCTTTTACACGACAATCTGTGGGAGCCTTCCAAACCTAATGAATCAGATTAAAATTTGTCTGAGATACCCTCTATGTAGACTTTTCAGAGGGACAAATAACATCCATCTATCTTTGTTTAAAATAAAATGAGCACCTTGTTAAGTGGGAGGAAGAGACATCAATTTCTCTTTGCGATTTGTCCAGTTGGGTTGCATTTATCCATGTGTGGGGTACAGCAAGCAGTACTGTGGGCAGCACCGTCCATGCCACAATTAATTTTGTGTATTGATTCAGTTCATATTTGTGGTCAAACATTGGTTCTGTATGTTTCTACGAAGGTATTTTTAGAGGGCGGATATCAACATTTCAGTCAGTGGCTGGAATAATGGAGAATGGCCTCCCTATTGCGGCAGTGGTGGTGGGGTGGGGCGGTTCCTCTGTTACTTGAGGCCTAACTATAACAAAAGACCAACATAGCCCGGCAAGAAGCCAGGCTGCCCTAGACACCACCAAAAGGC